AAAGGAGGAGGAGGAGGAGGAGGAGGAGGAGGAGAACGACGACGACTGACCCGCCCTCCTGTCGCGCAGGGGGCCGCAGAGGCAACAACAACAAAAAAGAGGAGGAGGAGGAGGAGCAGGAAAAGGAGGAAGAGGAGGAGGAGGAGTAGGAGGAGGAGGAGGAGGAGGAGAGGGCGTACCGTTTGTTTTTACCCTCCCCTGTCGTTTGCCGGAGAGAGGATCTCGGGGGTTTCACCAGATTCAGGCGACAAGTCCATAGTCTTGAGGGGAAGGGAGGGCGTCGGAATCCAATGCAGTCGAAGGGTGCCCAGGAGAGCTCGGGGGGGGCGACCTTTGAGAGAGGATTCGAGGTAGGGCGGGAGGAGGATGAGGGGGAGAGGGAGATGGAGGAGCGGGATCGCGACTGCAGGTCGAATTCGGCGGTGGGGGGTGGGTGGGGCGCTCCTGAAGGGAAGCCTTGATTCTTGATGCCATCCCTCCATCTCTTCTCAGATCCGTTTCCCCTCCTGCCTCCCTTGTTCCCTCCTCCGCACCACGTCCCTCTCATTCTGCCCTTCCCTGTTCTCCTTCCTGCTTTCGTCAACAGTCCAGTTGCTCGGACTTTGCGTGTTGGAGGGGCTATGATCAGTGGGAGGAGCAAAGTGCATTTTTCGTGATCCTCTGGGCCCTACAGGGGCCCCCTCGGGCCCAAACAGTATACCAACGGTGCACGTGTCTATCGCCCCCCATGAAGCAACGCCCAAGCTGCGCCCTTGATAGCTTCACCCCAGGCTTTCATTCCTTAACTTCAGCCTGACGGCGTCCCGCGATGACCCCGGGCGGGTTCCAAACCCACAGCTGCCCCTCCTCCGCATCCTCCGAGGACCCCGTGGAGCAGAGCGCACCTGGCGTTGCCAGCTCCGTCACTCTGCCACCGAGCCGCGGCCAGGTGTGCCGATTCCTGCCGCCGCACCCCTCGAGCTGGATCGATCCGAGATTGCTTTGGGGGCACGGCACCTCGCGGCGCGCAGGTCTGAGAGGCCCCTCCCCCCCCTCTGACAGGGGAGGTCCTGGTGCCCTCCGCGAACGGAGCCCCCCTCCTCCCCTGGCTCCACCCCTGCATCCCTCCTCCCCCCTATCTGCCTCCGTCCTCCCTCCTCGCCCCCCCCCGTCCCTCCTCCCACCTCTTGCCTCCTCCGCTCCCCTCGCCCCCCCCCCCCCTTCCCCCCCTCCTTCCCCGCCCGCGGCACGGGGGCACCACGTGGGCTTCCTTCCAGCCTCCGCCCTCCTCCTCCCCCCGCCCCTCCCTCCGCTCCACCTGCTCCCTCCGCCCTCCGCCCTGGCAGGGAGATCCTGATGCCCTCCATGAACGGAGCTGGCGGCTGCAACCACGTCCTCAACCAGACGACCGGCTGCCCCGGCGCGGCGAGCCAGGCCCCCACCGCGCCGGGGCGGTTCAATCTGGCCCTCTCTCCCCGCCAGCGTCGGGCCTCCTCCGCATCCCGGGCCCGTGGGCTGGGCCGGGGGGCGCCTTGAGCATGTCCTCCCCCTCTTCCTTGCCTCCTTCCCTTCCCCTTTCAGCCCCTGACAAAAGCGCAGACGCGTCAGTTCTCTGAGGTGCAGTGCTGATCCAAGACATCCGCGCAGACCTCGAACATTACGCGCATGCCGTTTTTGTTCGTCGACTCCGTCTTCCTCCCATTACGCTGGGGCCCTGTCCGTGCCGCGTTCGGATTTCCCATGCTTCCGCTGATGTCGTCCCGTCGTCGTCGTGGTCGTCGTCGTCGCTTCGGGGGTGCTCCTGTATGCACCGCAGGCCAGTCTGGCCACTGGGGGTATTTGGTTGGCCGTTTTAGCCGAGAGTTGAGGACCTTTGGATGGCAGTCCTGGAAGGGGGGCGCTGTAATTTCAGTGCAGGTAAGGGGGAACAGGTTGTTTTTGCGGGGCCTGGCATCGTTACCAAGTTTCTCTCGTGGGTGGCAGACGTCGCGGTTTTAGCCACGTTGTGGGGCTTTGGCCGACGGATGGTTTTACGCGCTTTGCAGGTACAGGGCGCAGGTCAATTTGTCCCCGATGGGCGTACCACGATGCCCAAACATGGATAACCATACAACATTTCAAGGATGTTGCTTCCGAACCTTCTCGGCCTTCATGTGGTTTGAGGGAGCCCCTACAATATTAATATAACGCAGCGATGGTTCCCAAAGCCAACCAACCATCCAGAACATGACGTGTCCCAGTGGAAATATGTCCAGATGCTGGGCAATTCGGTAGCCATGACATTGTCGTCGACGTCATGGCCACGGTGATCACTCATCATACTCCTTGCCCCTCCATGTTAATGTTGGCTCAGCGCTAAGTGGAGCCGATTCAGGCGGTATCCTATCACTGTTCCAACTTCGTTCTTTGTCGAATCATCTTCAAGGACTGCGCCCTCTGCCGCAGCCCCCCTGGCCGAGCCACAACCTTTCTGGACTGAAACAGGTTTGGAACCTTAGGCCATCTTGGGGCGTCTTGCGGCCCTCCTGGGGCATTGGGCAATCCTGAGCGATTTGGCGGCATCGTGAGGTCTTTGAGGGCATGCGACAGACGACAAGCAATGAACACACTAAGGTGCTTCTATGTTGTCTGAGCGTTTTGAGTGCCCTCCTATCCCCTCGCAGCTTGGGGCCATCTTCGGCCGTCTTGGGCTCACGAGTTCCTGTTCGGGGTTACTTGGAACCGCCCTGGAGACCTCTTGGGCCATCTTTGCTGTCTGGTGTCTGATGGCATCTTCAATTACAGGAGCCCCAGGGCAACTGAGACTGGCCAGCAGGCTGAGGGACACCCCTCCCAGGGTGGCATTGTGGTAAACGCAGGTCGCCCCGGTAGACCGTAGAATTGAGACAGGACTGGAGGGGCATTGTCTTGGAGCTGCTCTCGGATGACCTCCAGAGTGCCCAGAGAGCTCCACCAGGCGCTCCTCCGAGAACCCCGAAAGACTCCCAATACGGCCTAGGCGAGCACAAGAGCGCTTAAGAGAGGGCCCAAGAAGCCCCCGAGAAAACCTTCGAACCAATCAGACAGCACACGGCATACATCACACACAGCACACAATACACTGTTCGCACCACACACAACACAGCACGTTGTTCCAGTCGGTCCAACGTTGTTCCTTATGGAAGCCCACTTTCCCCCTCTCACTCTGTTTTCTTTGCCACGCGCTCACTTCACACAACAACTAGTAACATCGGTGTTCGATCGGTCCTTGTAGCTAAGGTGGGCGAGAATGGTATGCGCACAACACACTTCACACAGTGTGCGCAGCACACGCACACACACACACTCTTGGGTTTTTCCAGCGGCTGAATGACGGGACCGTCGCGAGTAGTAAGGTGGGACATGCTTAGTTCAATTCCACGAGCACGCCCACGCAACCGAGCCCGTCCGCATACACCCACCACGCACAGTGCACACAGCACGCACGCACGACCACACACATTCAATATGCACACGCGCGCGCGCAAGCGCACGCACATTACGAATGACCAGCATGGCAGTGATAGACCATCACGACATAACCTCCTTTACGACCTCAGTGGACGAACGTGGCGCGCGCTTCCCGTGCTTGTCCAGCCAGGTTATTTTGTGATGCTTCAAAAATGAAGCACAGAGTGATGTTCAGTAGTTTTCGTTTGAGTCAGCATCGTCTTAGAGCTGGTCTCAGAGGGCGTCAAGGAAGCTTGCACGAGCTCCCACAGGCTCCCCATAGGAGCCCCAAAGACCCCCAGCACAGCCCCAGACTGCGCAGAGCAGTTAAGCGCGTGCCAAGGGCCCCTCTATGCAGCCCAGGACGACCTCAACAAGGCCCTCGAAATGCCCCAATCGCACAGCACACGACAGACATTACACCTCACGCAAGATGCTGTACACAGAACGCACAGCGACACACAAGGCACATCACGCAGCGTGCACACACTTCACACAGCACACGACATGACACTCACATCGCCGCACACAGCACAAACCACTAAACTGATCACACACCCATTGCGCGCACGCAAAAGACACCAAGCGCGTACGTGTACATCGAGATCCCCCAGCATGGTCCAAGGTAGCCAGAGTGCTCAAGATAATCTCCATTGCAGACGATCAAGGAAGCCGTCAACATAGCCCTCGGAACGGGCAAACACACAGCACAAGCCAAATAACATGCACAGCACACCGTGCACAACACACGGCACGGAACATGTATTCTTCCGCCAGCGAATTGATGCTATCGCCGTGCGAGTACGAAAACAGGAGTTTTCCCAAGCTGCACTGACAGAGGCGACCCCGACTGGCCTGCGTGCGATACATGCTATGTGGGGCCTGTGGGAAGAAAGGCGCAGCCCGCAGCGGGGAGGTGCGAGAGCAAGCGGCAAAGGTGAAGCACAGCGCACAACACATACACTACGCATCAGCTAGCGCACAAGCCACTCCACACAGAACCCGCAGCACACATTACACATGGCACGTAGCCCGCAACGCACAACGCACAGCACACACCAGTCAACACATGACGTATGTTTTGGCGTCGTTGCGCGCCGCAGCGACGCGGTGGAATTGAAAGCAGGCGTGCGTGGGCGAGAGAGCGAGCAAATGATGCACGCAAAACGCACATGCAACCACGCACGCACCCCCTATCATGGACAACAACTGCGCGCTTAATACAGCATGCACACATGCACTCGCACGCGCAAGCGAACGCACGCCACGACAGGCCAGCACAGCAGACCAGCACGACAGACCATCCCTCACGAGCTCATCGGACAAACACGGCGTTTCCCGTTCTTGTCTGGAGAGGTTTCTTCGCCTTGTTGGGTGCACATTTGCCGAGGCATGCCGTTCATTGTCATTGCTTTGTTGCTATCAGGGCCGGCAGATGCAGCCCGATCGAGAGGTGGCATTTTCTCCGAGGGAGAATCCAATATCAGCACCAACCCTGCTGTTGACATATGCCGTAAAAAGGTCAAGGGCGCCGTCTTACGCAATTCGTTATCATGGTTGTGGCGCGAGTTGGAGTGCAAGTGCCCTTTCATGTTGTGTCCGGAAGCCACCCGATCTGCCAGAAGAAGTGGGATAATTACGATCGGTATTTCGACCAGCATGATGACGATGGGTTACCGCATGGAGAATGTGAGTGCAAGCATCGCCCAGGTTGCGGCCTTGTTCAGTATGAAGCAGATCAGGTGTTGCCCACAAATGCAGCGAAGGCTGGGCTTCCTACTCCTGTAGTCGTTGGCACCCCAGACAACGTAAACACGGGCGTTTCCGAGCTGGACCAGATGTTGTACGGTGTCTGGTGGATGATGGACAACCCAGTGCCAGAGGAGTTGGCCACGTTCGCTGGCACGCACTCCATGCTAACCAAGGAAGACGGGAGCCGCATTCCGACCCGCCAGGTCGATTGGGCGAAGTTCAACCTTACCTTCCATGTCGACAACAGCAGGCACAATCGTTGGGCATGGCCCGATACCTGGACGGCGAAGAACGTGATCATGAGAACCTACACTTCTGCCCTCGAGCGATCAAACAACTTCACGATGTTCAATGAGACGCATGGGGAGGTTCACACAGACCTGAAGTCAATGCCTTTGGTTTGGGTTGACGGCTGGTGGTTCGATATGATCAACGCGCACCAGTGGAGGCGAACGACCGAGTTTCAATCCGGTTCCCTTTTCTCCGATAACGTCTACATTCTAACCCGCATCGTGGACGGAAACTCCCAGCCAACGGTGCATTGGGACACTTGGCTCGGCTACATGCGCGACAGACGAGCAGCTGGCGAAAAGCTTCTTGTGTGGGACAGCGATGACGCTTGCAAGCGCAAGTGCATGCTAGGAGGATCATCTTGCACGAAATGTCATAAGGAATGCAGCGGGACTTGAACGTGTATCCGGCGCTGGCTCGCGGAAAACGTGTCCATGCTTGGTCACGCGCGCCTTTGCCCCCACGCTCGGACATCATGTCGCCGCCATTGTAAAGCACCCAGTGCCGATCATGATCGACAGTTTCCTAAATGGTTCGTTGGGATTGGGTGAAGGGGAGAGGCATTCGTTATTATCCCAGGAGCCAGGGTCATAGCAATGTTGCCATCATTCGTCCTCTCATCTCCAAAGGCGCGACACGATAGCGCGCCACTAGCCCTGTGGGGCGCTGTTTGGCGGGGTCCGATCGGGCGCCAAGCAAGTTTTTGTTGGAGTTTCCCTTCCCTTTCTTTTGTTATCGTTCGTCTGGAGGGCACGTATGAGGTCCACGTTTCCACACATGCATGCGTACACGTTCTCATGTACCCCTTTCCGAGGGAAACCATGCAGAGGAGATCTTGGGAGGCCACCAACGTTCCGAAAATCAGATGCACTCCTTCCGCAGGTCGCGACCTCATGATCCTGATCGCAGGTTGTTCAACGTGCGTTCGCAACGTATTCAAAATCCGGCTAAGCGGGTCTCAAATAGTACGCGTTCAACGGTTCCAGGAGTATTCTCCAGCAGTTCGATTTGGCGTTTTCATCAGCACGTCGATGTCGGCGCAGTTTCCCAATGCAGTCGAAGACAAGTTGGTAACTAATGTGCATGCGAATCCGATTTCGTTTGCCCTTCCTCTCGAACGTCAGAGTGAGGGGGTCGGACGGTACTACAAGATCTTTCGGTGCGTTACTGCTGGGGGGCTCCACGATGCGGGTTCATGGAGGCGCAGCTGCGGACGGAGTAGGCGAAGGAGACCGAGGACGACCAGGATAAGGAAGATGAACGAGGTGGAGGGATGAGTAGGCGGGGGAGCGGATCAGGGCCAGGACAAGTAACGAGACAAGTGGGATACGAAGGCAGGGGGGGGACGGTTGAGACAGGAGGTGCGAATAGAAGGTGGGATTAAAGAGGAGGAGGAGGGCGCAGGGAGAAGGCGGAGGGGGAGGAGATGATTGTGATGATGTTGCTGTTGCTGATGATGACGATGATGATGATGATGGTCACGATGATGGTGAAGATGATGTTGTTGATGATGATGATGCTGATGATGCTGATGATGTTGATGTTGTTGTTGATGATGATGATGATGATGATGATGATGATGATGATGGTGATGGTGATTATGATGATGCTGATGCTGATGCTGATGCTAATACTGCTGCTGGTGATGATGCCGGTGATGGTGATGGTGGTCATGGTTATGGTCATGATGATGTTGATGCTTATGGGGGTGGTGATGATGGTGATGTTGATGATGATGCTGATGATGATGATGATGATGATGCTGATGCAGATGCATATTTTAATGCTGATGCTGACGCGTGTGCTGATGTTGATGATGATCAGGATGATGATGATGTTGAGCATGAGTGTTAGGATAATGTGGATGATGCTGATTATGATTTTGATGATGGTGATGGTTTGATGGTGGGCTGATGATGACGATGATGATGATGACGATGATGATGAGGAGGAGGAGGAGGAGGATAGTAAGGTGGGATGAGGCGGAGGAGGATGAGGTGGAACAACATGAGCCATACCAGGTGGAAAGGAGGTGGAGGAGAGAGAAGGAGTCGCTTATAAGCATCATGAGCATGAGGAGGAGCTGGGCGGAAGATGGAGCATGAGGATGAGGAGGGGACAAATAGTTGGAACAGAGCCAAGAGCCAGATCACGATAATGAGGAGAGGAGAGAGGAGGAGAGTCAAGCTAGGAGCGCTCGTGCCATATCTAGCATCCGTCCCCTCCGACACCTTCTTTTCCCCAGCGCTGATTTTGCTCTACCCGCCGGCGGGTGTCATAGCCGACCTGGAACCCCCCAACGTGACCCCATCGTGTTCTGCGCAGTCGTAGGGGGGGAGATGTATATTGCAGGTTCGCATCGTGCCGACGCGGTGGCGACCCCGCGGTGGGCGCTCAAGGTTGATGGCCGCAGGTGGCCCAGAGTCGGCCAAGATGAAACAGTTCGGCGATCGAAAAACATCGGATTGTGCAAGGTGCAGCGATCCGCTTGGTGTCAGAGACCACCGTGGCGGATGAGCAGACTCAGCGGGAGGAAGAGGAGGATGAGGGAGGAGGCGGAGTAGGACCATGAATAGCAGCAGGAGGAGCAGGAGGAGCAGTGCGACCGGGGGAACGCGGGGGAGGGAAAAGGAGTTGGGCGACGGCGACAAGGAAGCGTTTGGAACCGAAAACATGGCCCGCGTTGGGGCGATGACGGAAGCAAAGCGCCAATCCTGAATCGAGGCCAATGCTGCAGCGGAACACATATTTGAACACTTGTAGAAGTTCCGACCGAATTCAAATACATCACATGGAACATCCATGTTTGAAGTCCTATGCGGAACAATGCGTGGATCCGGGGCCGCGACCACACAAAATCTGGGGAGAGAGGAAAGTAGTATTCACACTGATGATGGGGAGATGGGGGAGGAGAAGGACGACGGTTAGCATGGTGTATGCAATATATTCTTTTTCGATTGTAGGCAACGTTGCCCTTCCCCCTCACTCTTTCCTCCTCCTCTTTCTGCTGCTCGTCGTCATCGCCTCCCTCCTTCTCAAGACCGCAGGGCGGCTTGGGCAGGATGGCGGCTCCAATAGACATGTCGGGTCGGCCATCTGAAGGATGAGACATCGCCGGTACACCCACACTGGGGCATGCATCCCATGTGCGTAGACATGAATACCGAGGAGGAGGAGGAGGAGGAGGAGGAGGAGAAGGAGCAGTAGGAGGAGGAGGAGGAGGAGGAGGAGGAGGAGGAGGGAAAGAGAGAGTTAGAAGGAGGATGCGGAGGAGGGGCCAGCTCGCTCCCTCCCGCGCCCGCCGCCACGCCCCCGCGTGGCCGCGAGCCGACCCGTGGCGACGAGGAGATCCCGACACCCGGACTGCACCCCGCTGGGCGCCTGCTGCCTGAGGCCAGCAGGCGCCACACGTGACGCAGTCACCCAGTCCTGATACTCCTCCTCCTCCTCCTCCTCCTCCTCCTCCTCCTCCTACCTCCTCCTCCTCCTCCTCCTCCTCCTCCTCCTCCTCCCTCTCCTCCTCCTCCTCCTACAATTCAGCTCCCACTCAGGCCCTCGGGCCCTCAGTCCTGGCGGCACGGCACCCCCGACCCACCACAGCTCCGCCACCGCCAGCATCCGAGGGGAGTCCGGCGGCGCGGTCGGGGTTGGCCCCCCCAGGAGGAAGGAGTGCAGGGGGTGCCACTCCAGCAGTGCAAAGAAGGACACGTCAGGCGCCGCACGATGATGATGATGTGGCGAGGACGACGACGCTCACGACGACGACGACGGCAACGACGGTGGTGGTATGATGATTCTGATGATGATGTTGCTGATGATGATGATGATGGTGATGGTGGTGATGATGATGATGATGGTGATGGGGTTGATCCTGATGGTGATGGTGATGGTGATGGTGATACTGATGATGATGATGATGATGATGATGATGGTGGTGATGATGATGACGATGAAGATGACGATGAAGATGACGATGACGATGGTGGTGGTGATGATGAGGGTGATGATGATGCTGCTGCTGACGCTGCTTTTGATACTGATGCTGATGATGCTTATGCTGGTGGTGATGAGGATGATGAGTCTGAACATGACGATTGTGATGTTGATCGTGATGATGATCACGATGATGCTGTTGTTAACGATGAACATTATGCTTGTGATAATGATGATGATGATGATGATGATGATGATGATGATGATGATGATGATGATGATGATGATGATGATGATGGTGATGATGGTGACGATGATGTCGATGATACGTATGATGCTGTTGATGTTGCTGCTGATGATGATGATGACGATGATGATGGTGGTGATGGTTGTAAGTATGGTGATGATTATGCTGATGGCGATGATGCGTATGACGGTCACAATACTGATGTTTGTGACGCGGAGGAGGAGGATGAGAAGGATGAGGAGTTGGTGAAGGCGGAGCCCGCAGGCGGCACGCAACTGCAGCCTTTCCGACTGGAGCGCGTGGTCGGCATGCAGCAAGGCGTGCGGCGGGCAGAGGCGCGTCCGCGGCATTCGGCCCGTCGTCGTCGTCGTCGTCGTCGTCGTCGTCGTCGTCGAGTCCTCGTCGAGTCCTCGTCGAGTCGTCGAGTCCTCGTCGAGTCGTCGAGACTCTCGCACATCTCTTCGGCCTTCCTCAGGAGAGCTCGCGAGGCCCAGCGGGGGCTGGTCGCCGTCGTCGTCGTGGTCATCGTCGCCCGTGGCGGGAAGAGGACCAGGAAGGAGAGAGGGAGGTAGGAGGAGGAGGAGGCGGAGGAGGAGGCGGAGGCGGAGGCGAGGAGGAGCAGGAGGAGGAGGAGGAGGAGGAGGAGGAGGAGGAGGAGGAGGAGGAGGAGGGAGTGGAGGGGGGAGGAGAATGGGGAGGTGTCGCAAGGAGGAGAATGGGGAGGGGAAGAGAAGGGCGTCCTGATCCTCGGCGAACTCTTCAGTCAATATCGTCCTGGTCTTGCTGCCGCTCCTCCTTCCCCCTTTGCCTGCTCCCCCTTCTTCTCCTCCGCCTTCTTCTCCCCTGTTCCCCCTCATTCCTCCTTATCCGCCTCCTCCACTTTCTCTTTATCCTCCCCTGCGCCTGCTCTTCCTCATTCTCCTTCTTCGCTTCCTCCTTTCCCCGCCACTCCGTTGCTTCCTACCCCCTCTTGGTCCCTCTCCTCCTTCCTTTTATCCTACTCGCCTCCTCCTCGCCTCCTCCTCCTCCTCCTCCTCCTCCTCCTCCTCCTCCCTCCTCCTCCTCTCCTCCTCCTCCTCCTCCTCCTCCTCCTCCTCCTCCTCCTCCTCCTCCTCCTCCTCCTCCTCCCCCCTCTCCTTCTCCCCCTCCTCATCGGTCCTCCTCCCCCTACCCCCATTGGCCTCCCCTGCTTGCCCCAGCAGGTACCGGAGCCGGCAG